GCCCCGCCCCACCCCGTCCTCTGCCGCCCGCGGACAGACTGACCGCGCGGCCGTGTTGCATAAGTCGCCATTATCGCGTTGAATCTGCCCACCACCGCCGGCCGCGCCGTAACTGTGGCATTCCAGCCCAGGGCGCCCTCCGCGTGGGGCCCAGCCGCGCGCCCTGCCCTGCCCCGCCCTGCCCCGTGACCCCGCAGAAGGGAGAGGAAATGAAGAGTTTTAATTTCGTTTGTGTCTCATCGCGCTCGGGCCAATGCGGAAGAATTAACACGTAACGCGTTCATCATCGACGAATCCGTGTCACGCGAAATACACGGAGCAAATCTTTCCACGACCCTCTCTGCTCACTTGTCAACGACGAAGGCAAAAGGATTAATGATTTGACGTTGGTTGGGTGTCCTTTAAACCTCGTGTCGTGGCCTTAGATATTTTTCATTTCAACTGTGCACCTCCTAGTTAACTCTTGTCCTCGCACAATAAGTGTTTTCTTTTTCTTTTCGGCCGCGACTGCGGCGGCACGCGACCCCATGCGGTGATCCCAATCAGCCCAAAGCCTCGCGCGCACACACACACACACACACACACACACTCACACAGACACGCTCGGGCGCGTAACCCTGACGTCAATCACAGCGGAGCGCCTCGCTCGCCCCGATAAGTCCCCGACCCGACACACGGTGGTGGTGTGAGGGTGGAGCACAAAAGATTTCATTACGCGGAGCCCCCTCTGGTTCGTTCCTGCCTTGCGTCGCCTTGGTCGCGTGTCCCTCCTCCGCTAGCGGAGCCCTCCCGGCTCGCCTCCCGGAGCTCTTTCTTGAGTGCCATTTTGCAGCCCCATCCGTGAGGTAAAGATGAGTGCTTGTCCGGTGCGGCCGCACGGCCCGACCGGACGTACATGTGATGAGTCATTTTCCTAAATTTTATACGTTTCCGAGGAGAGTACGTTTATTACTGGCTGTGCAGGTTTTATTGAATCCGTGAATATCGTTGACTTATCGTTTTCTTTTATTCCTCTGCTTCCAGGACCTGATGCAGGCCTTACTACCTCCGAAGTCATGGTAAGTGCCGACATTTCTTTTACAACGAACGTAAACACGTAACTGTGTGCTTCAAAACTCGCAAAAAATTTAGCTATAAACCGTTTTTTCCATTTCTTCTCTTAGCAAACGTTTTTCCTGTGTTACCTAAATGTTTGCTCCTCCGTACTTATCTTGCTGTTACCCTGGTAGTAACACTTTGTTTCCTGTCAAAAAATTTGCTTTTCGCGAACACAAAAATTGCTATAGCATAAAAATTGTTGCAAAAAATTGCTGCGCCAGTAAACTATAGTGGTGTAGTGTTTTAGAAAAATTGTACTGCTGGAGAAAAGCAGATTCCTGCTGTATAGCAATTTTTTTTCTGCTGCTGTGGCAAAAATTTTACTAGTAAAGGAACAGCAATCCTTATTTGTCAACTGTTGGAGCAAATAACGCCAGTTATTTAAAAATATTTTTTTTCCGTGCACGGCACGGATGAGGCGTGTCCTGCTCGGACCGCGTTTCTTTTCACTCTCATACGGCCACTTCTCGCGCGGCCGCGTCCAAGTGTGTTGCCGGCCGGCCGGGTCGGGGGCAGCGGTGCACAGCAAGCGGGCGGGGCGCGGTACGGTAGCTGGCCGCGGCCATAGCAGCAGCGTGTGTGTGTCTTAACTGCCCGCTGACCCCGATAGCCGCGGGGCTGGCTGGCCTGGCCGTTGCCGATGGCCGAGATGAGCGCGAGTGATGCCAATTGCCGCGCAGCAGAGTGTTGTCGTGGGAACAAGGCCAACCGCGTCGAGTACCGAAACGCAGCGCCATCACCGGAATGGGACGTTCCTTGCTCTATCGAGGGAAGCTGGCCGTTGCAGGCAAAGTAAAGGCCTGCCGCGGGAACAATGTAACAGGCGCGACAGATGCAGTTAGTGGTATTGTTCGTGCCGAGAAGAGGACCTCCCATATTCCAGAGCGGGGGAGATTAGCTCGACCGCCTGCCGCGAGCCCCCGGCCGTGCCCTCCTTCGTGCCGGCCGCCAGTGAGAGTAGGGAAGGGACTTTAAATGGAGTGTTTAATGTCTGGTCGTCACTCGGAGGTGCTGCTGCTGCTTCTGCTGGTGGTGCCTCTACTGGCCGCCCTGGTGGTGTCCGCGGGCCCGTCACCCGTCAGGGGCACCCTCTCTTCTCTGGTGACATTCTCCTCCTCGCTGGCAAGGCCGCGTGTCTCTCTTTCTCCAGTCTCTCTCTCTCTCTCTCTCTCTCTCTCTCTCTCTCTCTCTCTCTCTTTCTCTTACTCTCGCGCTCTAAGCGCTGTGCGGTATAATGCTTATGTTGATGTTAATTGCTTACTCACACACATCAACGATGCTGGGCCTCGGCTTGTGTCTTTGTCTCCCTTTTTTTTCCCATGAACAAGTCTCTCATTTATCTAGTTTTCTCTCTCTTTCGCTCCTCTGTCGTGCAGCCTCTCACCGCTGCAATACCGTACCGTCAAAGTTTTCTCAAAGCATGATGTTGTTTGTTTTTTAAAAAAATGAATTTCAGACAATTTTGAATTTTGATCTTTTTTGGGTATGTATTATTTTCACACCTCGATTTTGATCGGTAGGTGTTACCTTAGTTTTGAAAGCCAAGTCTTTGGAACGCTAGGCGTTGAGCTCAGAGTGCCCTCTGTTGGCCGCTAGGGCACGTCCAACACCGACGAGAAGGACGTACTTCTTCCTTCCCCACCCACTATCTCCGTGTGTCTCTCTCCCTCTCTCTCTCTCTCTCTCTCTCTCTCTCTCACACACACACACACACACACGTCGACGTGCACTCATAGCGCGCGCGGTGTGAGACTGGCTGTGTTCCCCCTCCGTGCGTCTCCCCCACCCAGAGCCAGGCCCGGGCCCGCTACCTCCACACGGCGAGCGCCCGTTAGGTAGGCAACCCGCGGGCTTGTGTGTTGGGCTGGAGGCCTGCCCAGAGCGGCGCTTTGTCCGCGAAACGTGTTGTGCTGGCCGAGAGGGGAATTCACCACCACCAAACTTGCACAGAGTACTCGGCATTACACCGAATTGCGTGGTATTACCAGGTATTAGACGCAAAACTTTTCAATTTTTATAGCACATTTCGTCAAATTTCGGTATCACGTTACAAGTAATACCACGTAATACCCAGGTTGGGTGTAGAGGGTATTACGGGAGTAAATATTCCCTTGGTGCTGGCACAAGCCATGCTCACAGAAGCCGTAGTAAGCTTTCCCAGAACCTCCGCTTTGGAGAGAAATTGGTAAGCTGTGACTGCTAAATGTCTTCAATAATACTTGATGGTAAGATTGCAATTTTTAAAAGATAGGCCTTTGGTACCCCTCACGGTTCGTATAGTTTTGGCTTTGCGTTTCCTGTGAGTCTCTCGCCCTAGCAAAAGGCGTTTTTGTTTGTCACCCGATTTCTGGTCTAGTTTGAGGTGAGTTGTCACAAGACGCCCATCGCCCATCCAGCCCGGCCCGCCTATCGCTTCCCGTTGTGTAACCTCTCCACACACCCCTCAACAACATGTCGTGTGGCTTCTCGGAGCGCCGGATCAGAGCGGTGAAGCCGAGGTGGGGAGTGGTGGGGCACGCTGCTGCTGGCTAGGCGTGACTGGGGCCCTCATCGTATACTGAATAACGTAACGTGCTTCGTATATACCGGGGCGGGGTGAGTGACAGGATCAACAGGATGTAAAACACATCCTGCATACGCACAACGATGCGACGGGGAAACGTTTTCGCGTTACACGCCCGCCGAGTGCAACGCACGCGTCGTGTATGTGCGGCGTGCATGTAACTGAGCTCTAGCCTGGCAGGAGGTGCAGCTTGCAGCCACAGATGTGAGGAGCGGCTTTGCCTAGGGATTTCCACACTGTAAAACTATTACACATATTCAAATTTTAGATTTACAAAATTCATTTGGCATACTTCGTAACGACTTGTCACTCTTTGACGACCAAAAATTGTGTGTGATAAATTTACAAAGCATCGTTCGTTAATCGTAAATTCGATGCCTCCTAACGACAAAGTTCGATCTTCAACGGCACGGTTACACAAAGTTCGATCTTCAGCGGCCCGGTTACACAAAGTCCGATGTGCAGCGGCACGGTTACACAAAGTTCGATCTGCTTTTCGCCGCTCGCGGGAGTCGCAAGTTTAGACCTCTACCACAGTCTTGTTGCGATAGCATTCAATTTTTTCTTTGGAGTATGTTGTTCTTTGATCTTTTACAAACATGAAGCAGTTTTTACTTTTTTTCTATCTGCAATATTGTCGAGGATATGAATACATTTAGGCTGCGCTGCAGAAACCGCCGGAATGTAGATCGAACTTTGTGTAACCGGGCCACCACAGATCGAACTTTGTGTAACCGGGCCGCTGAAGATCGAACTTTGTGTAACCGTGCCGATGAAGATCGAACTTTGTCGTTAGGAGGCATCGAATTACAAAAAATAATACAAAAGAATAATTTGCAAATTCACAAAGATATCATTCACAGTGTCCACGGCGCCGCTACCCTCGATCCCTCGATGTGTCGGAAGTTACCGTCGTGGAGAGACGGGTGCTAGACATAACGCAGTGTCACTTGGCCTTACAGAAAATCAGGGGAGAGAGCTGTGTGTGTATGTGTGCTGGTTTGCTTTGCTGGAGATGGAAATCGGATGCAGAAGATGGAAAGGGGGGGGGGCACCGTGTTTTGTTGTGTTTGTCGAACGGAATGGATGGGCAGAGAGGGTTGGGGGAGGGGAGAAGAGATGCAAGAAAATGCTTACAGACCAGTCATATTTACTCGCATCGTCTTCCTCGGGCGCCGCCGCCGGACCGTTCCCCGAAAAGCAAGCAGGCGGTGTTGTGTTCCCTGCCAACAGAAAGCGGTGCACCTCGCTGCACTCTGCTGTCATGAACAAATAAAGAAAAATCTTTGATGTAGAATTTTACGTGCAACGGGCCGCACAGGAAATGTGTTTCGACCCGGGCACGAGCACGCCCTTTCGATTTCGTCAGACCAGCCTCCCTGGTCCTGGTATCAAAACTCGGTTAAATGTAGAAATCTTTTTAAGTACCCCGATCACTTTGAAACGGTTTCTGCTACAGGATATCGGCCGCAGTAGCGCCACCACTGCCCCCCCCCCCCCTCGCACACCCACTCCACATTCCCGAAGCCCGCGGCTTAGCCAAGGACCCCCTACAACAACAGGTTCGCTGCTCGTCGTCGTGACATACCCTGAAAGGCTGTTAGCCGAAAATCTGGACTGCACGATCGACCTCGGCCCACCGCGCCGTCCTGCGACTCAGCGGGTCCAGCCACGCCCCGCCACGCCCCGCCACGCCCCGCTGCACCGCCGGGCCTCGGAAGGACGACAATGACGCGGGGTCCCGTTGTCAGGAATCATCGCCAAACGGCTTGCGTTCCCCTTTTGTAAAGATGGGAATGAGACGGAAGAATCGGCAGCAGCATGGGGGGGCCAAAGACAAAAGACAATTCGTGAAATGCTCGAAAACATGCCTCTGTCATGTTCTGTGAACGTGGGAAACGCAGAGGCCCTTTCCCCCGTCTGTGTGAGAGGTTGCATCGTTTGGTTCGCGTTCCTGCGCCGGGGCGTTCCGCGCCCCCGCCGCCTTGCAGCAGTCAGGCGGAATGGCCACCCCGACAGGATGTGCGGGGCCCCGCCCCGCCGCCGGCCAACCCCAAATAAAGTGCGAACCTTGACGGCAGCAACATCCCGCAAAGGGCGCCCGGGGCCGCGGGGCTTCGGCTGGGCGTCCCCGCCACCTTTGGGCGTCCGCCGCTAGGTGCGCTGCGGTCAGGAGGAGACCGCACGGCCCGGGCCAGACACAGGCACAGCCTCACTGCAAGGCCAAGCTCCGCGCCGTGCGAGTGCTTTTCCCGGCGCTAATAAAAACTTTAAGATGATCTAATTTTTTCTTATGATATCGTATAAAATGTGTGTCTGCCTGGAAAAAATGCTTTGATTCGCACATGCTTGCGGGCCCTCCGGCTGAAGACGCCTGAGAGCCTTGCGGGCTCCTGA